GTAAGTAAGTAAGTAATGCTCACGTACGATTGGTTCACAGTGGATTTTAGAGAAAATGTGATAACTGAGTGGCTACAACAAATTGGACAATTAAGAAGTTCCTTTATTTGTGATTTTTGTAATCACATAACATGTGGACCATGTGATGATGTTGTCTTACGATGTAATGTGCGTTATAAGAAGAAGTCTACTAGGATATGACTTGTTTGTTCGATCCAAATCGAGAATAAAGCAAATTATGACAATTGTTGCGAACTGAATAATAAAAGCACCAGTAACACTGACTGCTACCGAGTACTACAATATATACAGATGATTGGACAATGTACAGATATTTACATAGACTTGGTCATTTGCATCTTGTCGTTATTCACAAGTGATATTTTTTGAGTTCAACAACCGGAGTGCACACAAACCTTATTGAAGCTATATGGTCGAGGCTGAAATTGTTTTTGCGACCTTATCAAGGCTTCAGATGCCGACTATTATAAAGCCATATGAATGATTTCCTTTACCGTATGCATTGTGATTTAACAACCTCTGAACCTCTTACTAACTTTGGCAAATGTTTGAACCATTTAAAAGAAATGTATCCACTTTAATTCATTAGCCTTGTATAATATATATTTTCACTTTATACTAACTGTTTTGTGATTGGCTAATCTTTCTCAAGGTCACTTAAGATTCGTTCAAAGCTCGTCTATAAATTATAGTCTCGCCAAAAGAAAACCTGGTAACAAGCTAAATAGAATGCTCTTTATCGATTAAATATCGTCATTTAATAATCATTATAACTGAGATATAATGGTTAGATAGATTTCTTTTTTTGAGAAGACAACCATCTAAATAGTTAGCCTCTTATGCTTGAAATAGTTTTAGTAATAACTATTATAAAATACTTTGGTAAAACTATATTGATTATAGTATGTAATTTGATTGTAAAAGTTGTAGAATAGTAAAACTTCACCAAAATCATTCACCTGAGCTACTAAACTTCTCTATCATAGTAAAACTGAATTTAGGATAAAGATTGTAATTTATAAAACAAACAGAATAATATAAGCAGAGATGGATAGTGGCTAGCAGTGGAATCCAGGACGCGCGTTTCGTCCTGTTTGGGACTCGTCAGCTGGATGTACCTGCATCTCAGAGTTGATGTTCACTCTGGCTATCAGGACTCAGTAGCTAAGTGGATAACGCGATGGTGTTTGAAGTGAACGGTACTGAGTTCGAGTCCCAGAGTGAACATCAACTCTGAGATGCAGGTACATCCAGCTGACGAGTCCCAAACAGGACGAAACGCGCGTCCTGGATTCCACTGCTAGCCACTATCCATCTCTGCTTATAATGCTTGTAAATTAAGGCAATATCGAGGCATACGCACAGTATGCACATATGCCAATAAGAGACTGATCAATTTCAGTCCTAAAACATCAATGGGAAGATTCAAATAAAAACAATATCAAGTGAATTAAACAGAATAATAGTTTACAATATCTTAATAGATAATGTTGTCTATTTAATGAGAGGAATAAGACGTTATTGTTGTTATGTTAATTCCTGATATTGTTACCATGATATTAGACATATTGAGTTGATGACAATTTTAGTTATAATAATTATCACTGACAAACTCAATTGTTGTTATAAAGAGTTTACCACTTTAATTTGTTATATTTTTATAACTATAACGACTAAGAATGAATTCTTATGAGGTAATGTTTTGTATAGAATTAAGATTATATCAAGGATGAAGGGGAATTTCAGTTGCCAATTCATTCAGTACAAATATTATTCAAAAAGAAATTATCTCAACTGTTTAAACTGTAAATTGTACTGGATCATTGATTTCAGTACTGAATAAATTTGTGTTTGGTACTATTTACTGTCATATTTTCAAGTTTTAATTCATGAAATATGAAGCATTAATATTTAAGTTGAATAACAGTTAATTGTTGATTTTGGTGGAGTTTTGTTCTCTGAGCTGGATAGTTTGGTCGTGGTTGTGTCAAAACAATGGGAGACACAACCAAAACAAAGAAGTAAACAACGACACATTTAAGGTCAATAAGAACCAATCAACGTCAAGGTGCACAGAACAAGCTTTGAGACACATATGGAGAAATTCAAACACTTCACTTCTATCTGAAGTTTGTGCTGATTTAGTCGTTCAGAAGAACGATGAAAGCTCCACGACCAAACTATCCAGCTAAGAGAACAAAACTCCACCAAAATCATCCACCTCAGCTATAAATCTTCTCCACCATCTCAGTTGATTGTTGTCTTTATTCTAATATCGTGTGTAAAACTCAATTAAATTTATGCGAATGAAATATGAATTGAATATTTGACTTTTAGAAATCCATCAACTTTAGAAAACTTCATATTGCCTAATCTTGAAATTTTTATTAAGCCTGGTAGGTTGGTGTCTGACAAAATCATGGAAGAGATTCAGAATGTCAACTTAATTTTTGTCCGAATTACTTCTCGTGTAATGTTAGCAAGGTATCAGTATGCTAGAGGAAGCCACAGTACAATTTGCAAAAGTTTGTTCTCTTTTTTTACCTTATGGATGTAAAACGCAGCTTTATAAAGTAATGGGAATCCATAGGCTACTACTTTTCGATGACAGATATTATCAAAGCATTGGTAACACATCGTGGAATAAGGAAGTGACCAATACTAAGGTATAATGAACAAAGATGGCAAGTTGGTGGATACGGTTGTGAATCTGCATCAAAAAATATGGTTAGGACATAAATTAAATATGCTGAACTACATCATATCTTGATGCTCAGTGCTGGGTGATGTAGTAGTAGGTTAAAAGAAACTTTTTGGAGTCGAAGACAAAACATGCAATTAGTTCATGAAGTCAATGACGACTAATCTGTGTCATGTTGGTAAGTAAAGACTGTCGGGTTGGATCATATGCAAAGCTCATGATCAGTGATTGGGGTGTTATCTAATGATGTAGTCTGAAATCGATCACAGAGAATATAGATCGGCTAACTCCTCGTTTACCTTTAGGTCTTAAGCTTCAAAACTATTTTATATCTCTTATTCTCTTATTTCTTCTGGAATCGTATTCTATATTAATTCACTATAAATCGTTTGATTTTCATTTCATATTAATCTGTTAAGTCATATCTTACATCAATTAACTCTTTATTTTAAACAGTTTACATTATACCCAGTAGTGCTAACTATATAGAAGTACTTACGGTGAGACTATAATTTATGAAAGAACAAATCACGTATAAAATAACAAGTCTTAGATTTTGGCACGAAATTCATCCACGCATTTGACTAAACAGAGTCTTGGTATTATAGCTGATGTCAGTTCGTGATGAAAACCCTAAATCTAATTCTTAAGCTTAATCATTAACTATGAATCATAATTCTAATTCCTCACATAGGGTTTATAACCTTCATTTGGTCCTGGTTATTAAGTGGATAATCTCAAGGTTATTTTTGCGTCGCTCAAAGGTCATCCATAAATTATAGTCTCATTTAATTATAATGTATAGTAGTACTTTTGATGTAATTTGTTAATAAAATCATTCTATTTAGGATCATTCAATAGCTAATTACTTTGTTACAATGATATAAACAATTTGTAATATTAATTACTTCCAGTTAATTATTTTATTCAGTCTGTTTGGTTAGCTTTAGGGAATAGATTTGTGATCCATTTAAAATATAGCTGACTTATAGTGGTAGTCTGGTAAGAATAACATAGTATAGAATACATAAGTATGACACAAGCTCGTGTCCTACATATTCAAGGTTACATATACATATATAGTGAAGTCGAGAATGTGTACTATTGGATGTCTATCTAGAGTTTTAATGTCTTAGCTCTCGTCAACTGACCTAGATTTCCTGGGTCTGAACTCTGATGAAGCAATGATTGCTCATTTCAAAGGAGTCCTGTATTAAGTTGCATCATCTACCTGATATTATTTGATATCCTGAAGCACCCTAATATAGCGTAGTCTGTTACAAATGTCACTCACAAACAAAAGAAATATTCACAAATCTACTTTATCAAAAACTTGATTAGGATTTTTATCAGAAATAAATATCTAAAATATCACTGAAAAACAGGGAGTAATAGACAGTATTTGAATGAGATTATGTTGGTAAAGAAATATGAAGGATCGTTGATTTGATCTTGTATGGAAACATATAGATATTTCCTGCTTATCTGTTTATCATTAGAGGGAGGCAATTATCCAGTACCTTTTACCATTCAGTTTGTCAATTATTAGCATCAGTTTGTAATAATCTATTTATGCAAAATCTTTATGAGATTATCTAAGCCAAGAATAAATTTAATGTACCATTTAATGAAACTACAATTTTCCAACTTATTAGTGTATGCTAATAAAACTTGGTTAGTGGATGGAGATTAAATCTTCTTAAGAAAATATAACTATGTATTTGTACAGTTTGTAAATTTGTTAAACCCTATATAAAATGTATGTAGTAATAGTTTAAAAGAAGTTAAAATGGACTGGAAGAAGTTTGGTAAAGTTAGACACTAATATTTTAGTATCAAAATGGGGTTTTTATGGATATTATGGTAAGTTTAATAGTTGAGATCATGAGTCATTTGAAGTTAGACCAACATGCAAAACCTGGAAGCACTGGATGACGGTTTCATCCTAATGTGGGACTCCTCAGCTGTGTGCGTCAACGATCCCGCCTAGCAAGATACAAACCCAAAACCTGTCGGTATCTCAGGCGAACGCTTAACCTCTAGAGCACTAAGCAGGTCGACATCCAATGGTGTTAATTTCTAACTTCCACTAGTGCTTCCAGGTTTCCCATGGTGGTGTAGCTTCAATTGACTCATGATCTCCAATATTCAAATTACTATTATTTTAGTTAATAACATTCAATGCAAATATTATGTCAGACAATAAAACAGATCATTAAATGAGTCAAAAAATGTTTATATATATATGTAAGTGTAATCAATTTAAATTAAATCATACCTGTTAATATTAGATCTTTAGTACCTTCTTTCTGTTGTATAGGCATTGTAAGTGCTTGATGTGCCATTGTAGCGAATGGATTTAAAGCAGATGTGACCGGTGAAGGATAAGCTAATCAAATTAATTTTTATCATTGAATAAATGTGTTAATAAATAAATAATCTATACATAGATTAATAGATGAATGGATGTAATTGTTAGAATGTGTTAATAACTACCCAGATATATATAAGAGTTTAGTGTGCTAGGTGGTTCAGTAGCCAAAGTTATGTAACAAAACATTGCTTAGGAAATTGACACAAAATAACTATATTATATTATTTTATAATCTGATGTAGAATGGCAATAACAGTGGTAATGTCTATGTTAATATTCTTTAATTGAATTTCGATTAGTCCTTGTTGGGATATGGGCATCTTGTGTTGACTCTCTCTACATGATCTTTTTTTCCCAACTTTTTCATAAAATAGATGGACCGTGGCTATATTTAGGATATAGGATCCTATTCCCGTCGTGTATAGGTTTCACTAGCTGGGTGTATCTGGATCACAATGTTCATGTTTACAGCAGAATTCAAATGTGTTAATAACTACCCAGATATATATGTAAGGGTTGTAAGCATAATTATTCTACTTTTGAAAACATGCTTCTTATTTACTAATTGATCTTCTGGGCTGATTAAGCGCTTATAATTGAACCAGATTATAAATTATAATACAATTTACTATCAGGTGAACAACTTTAAACTTCAGTGTAACAATTTAAGAAGGAGATTAGTCATTTGATAAAGGTTGTTAAGGTAATACAGATTTAGATATTATGTACTAGTTGATCTGATTTTCAAGGTTAATTGTAGTAGAAGTAGACCTTTTACGATGGTAATAAATCAAAGGTCGACATACACCCTTTTCATGTTACCACCAACTGTATTTATAAATTTAAGTGTACCTGCCAAAGCATCTACATTGGTCGAACAGAAAGGAGGGCATATTTTAGATTTTTTGAATATGTTCTAAAAAGCCTCAGAACAGCAGAAAGAAAGACTCTAAACATTGCAATCACCAAACATCTCTTGGATACAGAACATCAAGTAGATACCTCTCAATCTTTCATGGTGATTAGTAAGCTGCCAAACTTCATTGTTCTGAAGTTTGCTAAAGCCGTTTCTATAAGGCGTCAAAAATCAAACTTATGTGTTCAAAAGGAAATGGTTATTAATCTTTCCTTGCCTTGGTGACAAATATTCCTTCGCTACGTCCTAAAATGATTTTTTTTCTTTTTCTTTAAACTCGTTCTTACATTTATTACATCACTGAGTTTTATTTCAACTATCTTCTAAATTAATAATCTTATTTTAATTAACTGAGCTCTATTCACTATATTCCTATCCATGTTTACTCATTATATAATCACTTGTTTCTGGCGGTTTGTACTGTTGTCACAATCAATGTTGTAGAATGTTCTTTTACATAAGGTATATATTTACAACATTCGGTATATTCAATTTATTTACACCCTTGCTATACTATACTAATGTGTGTTTGATGTAACTTCCAACCAAACCGTCTCATGTAAGTAATTTAAATCCATTATGTAACTGTGACCTTTAAATACCACATGTTGTAAGTAGCTGACGAGAGCCAAACGAAATAAAAATGAATTCATGCTATTCCGTGAGAATCTTTGTTCTTGCTCCTATTCAAAATGTTAAAGGGCATCATGTGTATAAAATGATCAAAGTAATGAAACACAAACATACAGGTACACTATCATCTTGAAATGTAAATCTCCTCTTTTAGATTGGCGGACTCAGTTTGAGTAAAATAATTGTACATGATAAGGTTAACAAAGCTTCTGGTTTTAGTAATCAACCATGTAAAGCTTGATTGTTTGAAAGTCGATTCATTAGGAAATATATAAGCAAACTTTAATACTTCATAAACTTGCACTAAAAACGACATAATTTAACTAAAGTATAAATATCATTCTGTAGAAATCTAAATATTTAGATCACAATACGTTGATTTTCATAGCTAATTATTATTGAAAATCGATAGCTAGGAGAACTTTGCTTGTAATATCCATTATCCATGAGTTACTGATTATGCCTCTGAATAGAATTGATTGTGATTCGAACATAGATACATTCACCATTATACAAGGTAGTATAACTTAAAAACAATTATTTCAATAATGCTAGAGGAGGAGATAATATAAACCTCACCTATAGGGAAATGGTTATGTTTTAAACAATTTTTCAGCGGTATTATTCCATAAAAACGACACTTACATAATCCATAAGTTGGAACACTGGGATACAAATGGGAAAGTGCATCAGTAGGAAGTCCAGTTAATGGAGATGTTAATGTATTTAAGCCAAAAGAAGTATTTGAAACTACAAAAATAAATTAATAAATAAAAATTATTAATACACCAGAAATTTTTATAAAGACTTATTTTATTTAGATAATTCTATAACTCGTTTCCCAAGGTCATATTAAGTTTTAATCCCCATTAGCACAACAAGAATTACTGTGGTGTGAACTACTTATACTGATATAAGTAGTATATAACGTGCGTTAAAAGAACGTAATGTCTGGCAGCAAAAGATGGCGAAGATCAAGAAAGGTAGAGCGAGAACACATTGGAGTTTGCAAGAAAATGCACGAACAATGGAATGGGAGACAATGGATTGGTGTTTGCAACAGAAACAGTCCAGTTTGGTTTGATGCATGAATATTTTGCAAATTGATGATTGACTATATGGTATTCAGATTTTGTAATTGTTGTGCTAAATACATCTGTTTGTCCCCACCCGTGTTCTTGTTCACTACATTACTACTTCAGATGGTAGAGATTTGTAACTCAGCTGGATGAATTTGATGGAGTTTAGCTCTCTGAGCTGGAATTATTTCTTCTACTATCTGAAGTTTGTGCTGATGATGTCGTTCAGAAGAACGATGAAAGTTCCATGATCAAAACGTCCAGCTTAGAGAACAAAACTCCATCAAAACAATTACTACTACTACCCGTGTGTTACGTAAACCTAGTATTTAGAGTGAAGTTCGAACCTATGATCGAATAGATTGTAAATGAATATTCTAGCTCAAATGCAATTAATACACTAGCTGTTGAACTGAGATTGTATGAAAAATAACTTGATAGCTGTTGCTTCCTATTCTAAAACTACTAACTAGTAAATTACAACGATCTACTTTAGAATAAATTCCAAATCTTCTACGCTTCATAGCTCACATGATGAATACAATTTAGACCTCAAAGTCAGGAACCAGTGATCTGAATTTCTAACTTCATTCAATTTTATTGGTAGGTATTTTACCTTATATTCATAATATTTTGAAACTAACAAGTCGAAAATATTGAAAATCTATTTCACTGCTAGTCATTCGTAAATGCACCATAGTTGGATGAGATGTGAAGATTATTTAAGTCTGGTTAAACATGAATTCCAATGCGAAACCAAATCGGCTTTTGTAATAACTCTATCGTCGATAATAGTTCGCAACAGTAGGAAAAATTGATCATAATCGTATGGGCAGAGGGATTTTTTAAATTTATCTGTTAATCAGTATCTAAATGGCCCTTAGTGAGCTACTTAATCATGACATTTATACAAAAGCATACAAAATGTAAGTCTTAACTTATCTCTTAAATCGTTTACATCTGAATCATCCATACAATGTGTTCCTAATTGTTTAATTGATCGAGCATGCACTAAGAATAATTGATGCTTTCTCACGGTCGAACTCACTAGTCGATCTATGCTAGATGATTATCATTAACCTCGAAAACTGAACAGCCGGTTAGAGGGACTCCTCAGCAGTGAAGATCCACGGATCCTCGTGTGGAACTCGAAATGGACTATGTGAGATGTCTGACACTTAATATAATAATAACGGTGTGATGCTAGACAGTGATAGACTTACTTGCTTGATTCAAAGGAAGAGAAACAGCGCCAAGACCACTGAGAGTTGCCGACGGTGTATGTGTCCCAGGAACTCCATGTAGAGCTAACGTGTGGCCACCAGTCCCGGGAGATCCTAAGCCTATTGCTTGTCCTGTCAAACCACATGTTGTTCCATTTGAATTCACATTTCCTGTCACATTCCCATTTGCCATAGCTACTACAGCTGCGGCGGCTGCAGCCATTGCTGCATTTGTACTGAGTGCAGCGGCGGCCGCTGTCGCTGTAGAGTTTCCATTATTATTTGGATTATTATTTCCTGTCTCTCCAGAAATACATGTACTGTTTACATTGGATAAAGCTGCCATTTGGGGTGATAGTTGTGTTAGCTGAGGATTATTGCCGGACATACCAAGCACAGCGGCGGCAGCTGCTGCCGCAGCCATTGGATTTGTATGACAGTTAGGCGAAAGATTAACAGTACCTGAACGTGGACTATGCAGTAGTGGAGTACAGCCTAAATGTCCACTGGAACCGTTGGTTAAAGCAGAAATCATTGCTAAATTTGTTACATTAGTCGGTAAGTTGACTGTAGCTAATTGACTGGCATGCTGAAGTTGTAATGCCAATGCAGCAACTGGATTTATATAACCTGTTGTTTGTGCCATATTCTAAATAAATCAAGACGTTTTTATAAAAAATTAATTATTAATTCAAAATTTATTAATATAGAAAGCATTAAAATCTGTGGAAATTGTTGTAAATTAAAACAATGTTTTATTGGCTGTTTTGTGGTGTGCTACTGATGTCAACAGATATAAGTAGTATGTATCATCAGTTCAAAGTGAAATACCTGGCGGTGGTAGGTTAAGAAGATCGAAGAAAAGAGAACGAGAACAGAGAATGATTGATGTGGAAACGAAAGAACAATAAAGTTTTAGACGATGGATTGATATTCTGCAAATGAAGTATTTAAAATATGGTTCTCAGATTTTACTAAAATGTTCTGTAATTTTTTATTCAAATACATTCGGTTGTTCCCACTTGTGTTCTCGTTCGCTACGACTTCATTATTGAACTATTCTGATAAAATGTAAACTGTTTAAACTCAAAATCCAATATTGTTTAATTAACGTTATTTCACACAATCATCATTAACGAAATGAGTTTATTTGATTAAATAAAAATTTCCGAATTTATAATCAACGTTGGATTGGTTGAAGTTAGACATTAACACCGTTGGATGCCAGCTCAGTGGTCTAGTGATTAGGTGCTCGCGCGCGAAGCCAGTAGGTCCTGGGCTTGAATCCCGCGGAGTGCGGGATCATGGATGCGCACCGCTAAGGAGTTCCATACGGCCGTCCAGTTCTTCCAGGTTTCCCATGGTGGTCTAGCTTCAGTTGACTCACGATTTCAACCTGTGAAATATATATATATATTCTTATTGTATAACTGTTCAGTAACTAGATTATACGTTATCTATATTCCTGTTATTACAAGGTTCATTTTGACCTATAGATTATTGTTGTTCTTAAGTTAAGTTGATTGATTACAATCTCCCACGTTCACAGCCACTTTTTGGCTTGATCTTGTTTAAATGTTATTTCTTATTTTATGGTGCGATGCGGTCTGTTTGGCTGGTATATAAACCAAGTATGTTTGAAATAAATGATTCGCACAGTGAAAGCTGACAATGGCGTTCTGGAATTAACTGGACGGGCTAGGCGAACAAAAGACCAATAAGAACTCTAGGCTTCTCATACCGATAGAACGTTATTGTTTTGGCACAGTACTAAGATTGTATAAGTCGTATCATGGGATAACAAGCCAGGCTTAAAGTCACAACATTATCAATAAATCATTTTCACACAACTAAATATGTAAAATCTTTTTGTATATATAAATCATGACTACATATACACTTACCTCTATCATTTGAGAATACATATTACCATTTAGTTGAGACAGTCCTATGGTTGGACTCAATAAACCCATTGGACCAATTAATTGTTGAATTTTTCTTGTATGACGTTCTTTTTCACTATCGGCAAATTTTACAACGATACTTGATGAAGCTCCCTGACATTATTCGTAATGTGGTTTTATATCGTTGGTGATGATGAGGTTTTAATTAACAAATGATGTCAATTCCAGAGAGGATGAATATTCAGACATGGTAATATAAGAAAGATTAAACTTTACATTTCTATTCAAGTAAATTGAACTTCAATATATATATAGCAAGAAAGAGGCGAAAAGATCCAAAATATGAAACGTGGATAGTTATACTTGACTGAACTAACAACTCACCAATGGCGTAGGATAATAGCTTTTCAACATCATGGATTGATTAAGATTGGAAATCCAAACAATTTTGCATTGACTCAGTGACTTAAATATCAAGCCCTAGTTATGAGATTTAAAGGTCCTGGGTTCAATCCGTGTGGGTGGTAGGCACGTGGTTGCGAACTGTTAAGACGTCGCATACCACCAGGATGAACTAGATGTGCAGTGTATCCGCGTATTCGATTGTAGACCAAGTCAGTTTGTGATGAAAACAGTAATATTTTTTCCGAATAATTTTATGTAGATCTACTGGTAAACTTTAGTGATTCATTTCTTTTGATAATCTAAAACTATGGTCAATTGAATAAAATTAGATTATTCATTTTCATAGTTATAAACCTGCTAAACTCAATGTTTTGCTATTCATTTTGTAGTCCTGTGGCATACTTGCTTATACATGTGATCTATGAATATGGATTATAAAAAGTGTTAGAAAACATCTAAGTGTCTCGTGTTCTCATTGAATTCCTAGGAAAGTGATATTTGGGAGATGAGAAGAATGCACAAATAGCGTTGAAAGTTTTATTATTTTCTGCGTCGATAAAAAAAATTAACATTTACCTTACTTGGAGATATGACCCAATACTGAAATGGATCTAAGAGATTTTTGGGAACGATTTTTAGGACAATCAATGTGATGTTGAATATTCTAAATTTAAACAGTTTTGTAGATTTTGAGTGCTATGTAATCATTATTGTTTTGAAAATTAGTTTCTAAATCATTGAATCAATAATCATTGATTTTCTGTCAAATGATTATGAACTTTCACACAGGAAAGCATATTAAACCATAGTATCTTATCGGTTGGGGTTAGGGATCACAATTTTATTGATCAATTTTGTAACTTGTTAATTATGATTGTTATCATTTAATTATTAATCAATATCTATTGGTCATGATACTTTTGGAGGACAAAATACGTTTCCATAAACACACACACACACACGAGTATATTGAAAACTTACCGGCATTGTTTGACTTCCATGTAGAGTAAGAATAGCGGATTGTGCTTCCTGTTGCGTAGAGAATTTTACAAACGCACACCCTTTATTTGAAAGAACAAAAGGAAATGTTTCTATGTCAGGTTTATAATATATTAATTGAAATTATGGTTAGTATAATAATAATAATATCAGAAGGGTTCTTTGTGGATATTATGATAATTTTAATCGTTGAGATCATGAGTCGATCGAAGCTAAACCACCATGGAAAACCTGGAAGCACTGGACGACCGTTTCGTCCTACTATGAGAATCCTCAGTGGTGAGCATCCACCATCCCTCCTAGCGAAATTTCAATTCAAGACCTGTCAGTCTTGAGCGAGAGCGCTTAACCACCGGACCACTGAGCTGGCATCCAACGGTATTAATATCTAACTTCAACCAATACACGAAATCGTGCCACCGTCCACCATTATCTTCAATGAGTTACTATCTCACAACAGACCCTGTTGAACTCAACTTGTCACTGCTTAATAATAATAATAATAATAATAATAATAATAATAATAATAGTATTAATAATAATATGAATGGATTTTACTATCAGATGACAATTTTCCATGGACTCTGAATTTTTTTCGTTTCGCTTAGCTCGACTGAATTTGAATTTTGAAAAACTAGATCCCACTGCTAGCCATTATCCATCTTTTCTTATAATGCTTATGAATTTTGGCAATATCGAGGCAGTACGCACAGAATACACATATGTCAATAAGAAATTGATGAATTGCAGTCCTAAACATCAACTCGAAGATTCAATTAAACAATACTAAATGAATTAAAACTCTTGGTTTTAAACTCCTCAATAGTAGATACCTAGGATCATAAAACGAGATCTAACCAACGTAATTGTATCGCTCACAAAATATGATTATTTCAGATCAATAAGCCAAAAACTATTAGTTTATATTGTCGTATTCAATCAGTTTGTAGTACGGCTCACCGTTCTAACGCTATGTGATCGATGAGTTATTATCATACTCCTTAGACGAATTTTTTTACAAATCAGTACGGAATTATTATTTGATAGGGTCAAGATTTATAATAATGGCTGAAAAACAACTGAAAACTAAGAATGGTAGATAATTGTTTCGTTTTAGTTAAGGGCTTTTTGGTAGTTCCCACTTACTATCCAGCAAAGATTTTAACGTAAGATTTCTCATAATGAAAACTTTTCATGGTGGTGGAATCGTGTTAACTAATAAACAATATTATTATCACGTTTGTAGTTTGCATCAATCAAAAATTGTTCTGATTTGAGGTACTCTTAGAAACCAACGAGCGCTAGATAGTTATTTCAGCTTATTATGCCACCTGATGGAGCGGGCACCCATGATCTCATCATATTATCTCTCAATCAATAAAACCATTGTGCCGATATCCAGTGGTACAATTTCATGTACAACAAAATACACATCCAGTATCTACAGTCTCTAATGGCATCTCAGATGAGATCAACATGTGACCAATACAATTTGCAAATTAAAAACCCAATCAACACAAAATCTCTTTAGCTATACAAAAAAAATAATAATACTTTGAAAGAATTCAACGTAACAGTTAATTTGTAATGGTTTATCATGAATATTTTACCTTTACTATTTCCACTTTGATCTCGAAGTATTGTACACTCTTCAATTGTACCAAATGGTTCAAATAATAATCTGACATCCTCTTCATTTTGTTGTTTACTTAACATACCAACAAATAATTTACGTTCTTCTAAACAGAAATAATCAGTCAATAAAAAATAAATGTAAAATGCTTACTTAAACATTAGAAAATTTACTATATATATATATATATATATATATATATATATATATGGACAGCTATGATGCAACTGGACGATCTAAACTACGCAGATGACCCGGCTCTTCTATCGCATAAGCAACAACAAATGCGGAAGACAACCAGTATAGCAGCAGCCTCAGCAGCAGTAGATTTCAACATACACAAAGAGAAAAGCAAGATTCTCCGATACAACACATCATGCACCAATCAAATCACACTTGATGGTGAAGCTTTGTAAGATGTAAAAACCTTTACATATCTGGGCAAAGCAGGAGCAGTATATCTACAACTGAAGGACATCTGGAACTCAAAACAACTGTCAACCAACATCACGGTCAGGATTTTCAATGCAAATGTCAAGACAGTTCTACTGTATGGGGCGGAAATTTGGAGAAATACGAAAACCATCATCTAGAAGATACAAGTGTTTATTACCAACCGTCTACGCAAAATACGTCGGATCTATTGATCAGACACTATCAGCAACAACCTATTGTGGGAGAGAACAAACCAGATTTCAGTGGAGGAGTAAATCAGGAAGAAGCGCTGGAAGTGGATAGGACACACATTGAGGAAAGCACGCAACTGCGTCACAAGACAAGCCCTCGCATGGAATCCTCGAGGCCAAAGGAAAAGATGAAGACCGAAGAACACATTACGCCGAGAAATGGAGACAAACATGAGAAGAATGAAAAAGAATTGGATAGAGCTTAAAAAGAAGGTTCAGGGCTGGGTGGGTTGGAGAATGCTGGTCGACAGCCTATATTCCATTGGGAGTAACAGGCGTAAGTAAGTAAGTAATATAGCATGTAAATTTGTGAAGCTTCATTAATTTCAACTTCTCACTAGAACTGCAAAAATATTATCTTGAAGTTCGACATTAAAGAATTGCTTATTGTTATCAGTCTAATTTTATTATATTATGAAGCTAATGAATATTCATCATGATACCCATTATCTAAGTAACATTATTTTGACTATCAATGTATGCTAGACCACTATTGAAAATCTGGAAGCAGTGAAGGGCCGTTCCGTCTCATTACGGGAATCCTAAGCAGTTAAGATTTACGATTCAACACGCAGGACTTGAACCCAGAGACTTCGATTTCGCGCGCGAAAGCTTAAACTCTAGATCACCGAGCCAGCATTCAACGGTATTAATGTCCCATATTAGGACGAAATGGCCATTTAGTGCTTACAGGCTTTCAATGCTGGTCTAGCTTAGATCGATTCGCGAATTCAATCTTTAAAAGTACTACAATCTTCACATATCCCCATACTGATAAATAACATGAAACAAACCTATAGATCAATATATGAACTCAATGTAGTATTGAACTAAGTTTCTTAATTTCTTATTGTCCATTAAAATATCTTTATATTTTTTGTATTCTCTTATTAGTCATTAATTATAGCATATTCCATTTACATGTATTATTGTTACATATTTATATTCTAGATTTTATGTGTTCTGGTAGAAAACCGATTCATCACCATCGTCGTTGTCATCATCATCATCATTTTATACTTTACAATTAGCTGATAAATTGATTGTTTGAGAGAACAAACTATGTTGTTATTAAATCTTATGTAATAATTGTGTAATAATATCAATATTTAGAGAAGGGATTTGTAGATATTATACTAATTTAATGGTTGAATTCATGAGTTAATTAAAGATAGACAACCATGGAAAACCTGGAAGCACTAATCCTAGTATGGGACTCCTCAGCAGTGCATACCGACGATCCCGCCTCGCGAGATTCGAACCCAAGACCCGTCAGTTTTGCGCGCCAATGTTTAACCTCTAGACCACTGAGCGTGTATCCAATGGAGTTAATGTCTAACATCAACCAATCCACGAAACTGAGCCACCAACCACCATTATCATAATTAAAACTCATAGATTAGGAGGTTTCGGAAGATTTCCAGCGACTCGACATAGTTTAAACTTACTTGTCAATAATCCTTTAAAGGTATTAATTGTAAAAGTTATCAAATTTCCACCGTATACTTTAACACATTTAACTTGAGATTGTTTTCATCACTAATTTTAACTACTATCTTTAATTCAGTAAACAAATTTGTATACAAAATAATTTTTTCATTTTATTACAAAGTGGGAATAGCATCGGAAATTGATGTAATAAATATTACTTAATTCCTAACAATCATCTAATATAAAAAGACAGTACACATTAGTGACGTCTCTTACTCTCATACTTGGTGACATGAGTTTAAATTTCACTGAGATCATCATTTCTCTCATGGATCTGAGTGTATCATAGTGATAAGCATGTAATTTAAGTTCAGGGTTTCGTGCCGACTACCATTATCTAATTAACATCAAAACTCTAACTACCATAAATATTCATTGTCATATTCATGCATGTTGCCAGTGAACAATAATGAAATTTCCCACACATGTTACGTCAGTTATCCAATAAACATTAACATTCGCAATCATTGAAAGTCAACTTGTAGGATTTTATTAGCCTTACATTGTATGACAAAGTATATTAAATGTTATGATAAGACTTTTATCCATACTCTTAAATGAAAATGTCTTATGAACTAGTTGGTGCTTAATCCTGTTCAATATCTGTCACCCAAAGGTGTGCAACTTTATTCTAGTCTATCAGACCTCCGTCAGTTGACGTTTTTCTGATATTTGTCAAAAAAATTATAAAACTAACTTTATATCAATCAATTCTATATCATACACATTAAATTCTATCACCTGGATCTAACAAACCTTTTGTAGAACTATATGCATATTTATGTTTACTACTGATGAACTAAAAACATTCAACATCACACTGAATAAACTACAACTATTTTTTATACTTAAATTGAATGCTTCGGTTAACCGATTTTGTTATTAATTTAAAGTAATTGAACACAGGCTTGATTCTTATATTGAAGCAAATTCAAACAAATAATCCTATCTTACGTAAATTAGTTTGTGGTTTGTATATCTTATTGTTCATTTATCTGTTGAAGCTTCCGATACATCTAATGAAAGACCGAAAACAAGCATGAAAGTACGGTGGTGATCAATTTCAAGCATCTTATAGAGGCGGAATACTGGTTAAAACGCTAACCGTTCAGAGAGTAGGTTATAAGTTCAATACTTGGCGTGTAGCAAAAAAGTGTATTGTTAAATAAGCTATTAAAGTTGTTTATCAATAACAAATTGTAGATATAACGGATAGGGCGAGACTATAATTTATGGACGAACAAACCACGTATAAAATAACAGGTCTTAGATTTTAGCACGAAATTCATTCACTCATTTGGCTAGATAGAGTCTTGGTATTATAGCTGATGTCAGTTCGTGATGAAAACCCTAAATCTAATTCTTAAGTTTAATCATCAATTATAAATCATAAATCTAATTCCGCACATAGGGTTTATAACCTTCATTTGGTCCTGGTTATTAAGTGGACAATCTCAAGGTCATTTTTGGGTTGCTCAAAGATCATCCATAAATTACAATTTCACCACGGCTAGTTTTAAAATCACCGTCCAAATTTGATTATTGTATTATGGGTTGTGATTAGATGAATGTGGGGGCCATCTGAGAATTAATAAAATAAATGAATTCAATTTTGTTCAAAAGACGATACATAGTGAAATAATCTGATTGTATGATTGTTTGTCAGAAGACTGAATTATTGTCATAAATGTCTAAATTAATTCAGATCAACGATAAGACTACCAGACAGAAGTTGTTCTTTAGTAATAGATGAAACATGATTAAACTTCGTAAACGATTAGTTAGTAAGATGTTTATACATCACCCCAATTGAGTTACTATCTGGTTATCATATCATAAACAGTATAGTCTTAGAAAACCACTTTGTTCTGTTCGTTCTACAAACTATCAATGAAACCTAGTCTTCAATCATGCAAACATTAATAAAGATTCGGTATGTTGATTATGAAGTGAATGATCACATCATTTACTAAGCATTTAAGATTCATTTGGAAACATTGTAAGTTAAATACACTAATTATTTATGTTCATTCAGAGCAAAGGGAATGATATCTAACAATTTCTAAATGTCTATTCTTTACATCAAATTAAACCGCTTTTAGTTTGTGGATAATATTTTAGTGAATTTTACTATATTACTGAAATCGAGTTATAATTTAAGTGAACTTGAAAATTTGTGAACAACAAACACATAGATAAATTAAATTAAAAGTCTATTCAATCAGGAGAAATGAAGTGACTTGTGTACATGGTTTTTATGTTTATGAAATGTTATCAAGGGTTTTTCATCTAACAAATAAACTATCTGGAAAAAATGATGCAATCAGATATATATGAATGGATATAAAAGAGTTTTACTAAGATAAGCTATTGTTATCAACCAATACATATGAATAAATTCAAGCAGATAAATCCATTTCAATGGTTGAGATCATGAGTCAATTGAAGTTAGACCATCGTCGAAAACCTGGAAGCACTAAATGGCTGTTTCGTCTTATTGTGGGACTCCTCAGCAGTGCGAAATAAGACGTAGAGGCCGTCCAGTGCTTCCAGGTTTTCTATGGTGATCTAGCTTCAATTGACTCATAATCTCAGCCATTGAAATTACTATAATATTCACAAAAACCATTTTAATATTAAATTTATTTCGGTTTAAAAAATATGAAAAAATTCGTTTTCATAAACGTCAAATAGGACTGACACATCAGAATCACAAATAATGTGAAGGATAACATGTTCTTCATAAATAGTACCGTTTTACGTTATTCTTTAGTTTTTTTCTGGGTATCGAATAATCTTTCATTATCCGAATGATGTACACTTGTTGTTCGGCCTTAGGTTTATCGACTCAATATTTTACACAATTATATGTCGGTTCAATTTCCACTACTACCTCAGAACAACGAGATTAAATGGACAGAAAGCGAGT